TTCACCTCAAAGAGTGGGTGGAATACCAATGCACCGAGCAATTTCATAAATTGGGCACTTCAGCTTTTAAGGAAGTGCAATACTTCTTATAATTTCTAAATTGAGTTACCTGTCCATCCATGAAAAAAGTTTGACTCGTGTGCCTTTTTCTTAGAACTGGTTAAAATGAAAGACAGCTGTCCCAGCCCATCCTACATGGTTACATACCAGTGAGAGGTGTGCAGAAAGACCACAGCACAGGTGAGGGCCCCAAAGAAGCCTGCAGTTTTATAGCACATGGAGGCAAGTCACTCTCCAAGGGCTTAACATGTGCAAGGCACAAGCAGACAGTTTTTACCATTTATTTATTTTGAGATGGAGTTTCACTCTTGTTGCCCAGGTTGGAGTGCAATGGCGTGATCTCGGTGCACTGAAACCTCTGCCTCCAAAGTTCAAGCAATTCTCCTGCCTCAGCCTTCTGAGTAGGTGGGATTACAGGGACTCACCACCACACCCAGCTAATTTTTTTGTATTTTTAATAGAGATGAAGTTTCACCGTGTTGGCCAGGCTGGTCTTGAACTCCTGACCTCAGGTGATCCACCCACCTCGGCCTCCCAAAGTGCTAGGATTAAAGGGGTGAGCCACTGCGCCAGACTGTGGAGTCTTGCTGTGTCACCCAGGCTGGAGTACAATGGCACAATCTCGGCTCACTGCAACCTCCGACTCCCAGATTAAAGTGATTCTCCTGCCTCAGCCTCCTGAGTAGCTGGAATTACAGGCATGCACCATCATACCCAGCTAAATTTTGTATTTTTAGTAGAGACAGCATTTCACCATGCTGGCCAGGCTGGTCTTGAACTCTTGACCTTGTGATCTGTCCACCTCAGCCTCCCAAAGTGCTGGGACTACAGGCGTGAGCCATTGTGCCTGCCTCAGTTTTTTACTTTTTTTTTTTTTTGAAACGGTGTCACCCTGTTGCCCAGGCTGGAGTACAATGGTGCAATCTCGACTCACAGCAACCTCCACCTCCCAGGCTCAAGTGATTCTCCTGCCTCAACCTCCCAACTAGGTGGGATTACAGGTGCACGCCACCACATTCAGCTAACTTTTTCTTTCTTTTTTGAGACAGACTCTTGCTCTATCACCCAGGCTCCCAGACTGAAGTGCAATGGTGGGATCTCAGCTCACTGTAACCTCCGCCTCCCGGGTTCAAGCAATTCTCCTGTCTCAGCCTCCCCAGTAGCTGGGATTACAGGCATACACCACCACGCCTGGCTAATTTTTGTATTTTTAGAAGAAACGGATTTCACCATCCAGGCTGGTCTCAAACTCCTAATCCCAAGTGATCTGCCCACCTCGGCCTCCCAGAGTGCTGGGATTACAGGTGTGAGCCACCATGTCTGCTGAATCATATGTATTTCTAAACACTCACAATGAACAATTCATAAAAGAAATTTTAAAAACAATTCCATCTACAATAGCATAAAAGAGAATAAAATAATTAGGAATAAATTTAACATCTGGGTACAGTGGCTTACACCTGTAATCCCAGCACTCTGGGAGGCTGAGGTGGGAGGATCACTTGAGACCAGGAGTTTGAGACCAGCCTTGACAGCAGAGTGAGATTGCATCTCTACCAAAAATAGAAAAATTAGCCAGCAATGGTGGTGGACACCTGGATTATCAGCTACTTGGGAGGCTGAGGCTGGAGCACTGCTTGAGTCCAGGATTTGAGGCTGCAGTGAACTACAATCACTTCACTGCACTCCAGCCTAGGTGACAGAGTGAGACCCTGTATCAAACAAAACAAATCAAAACAAAAAACTAAGATGTAAGATTTATACACTGAAAACTATAGAACATTGCTGAAAGAATTAAAAATCTAAATAAATTGAAAGATATACCATAATTATGGATTAGAAGACTTAATATTGTTAAGATGGCAACATTCCTCAAAGCATACAACAGATTCAATACTGTCCCCATCAAAAGCCCAATGGCTTTTCTTGCAGAAATGAGCAAGCTGATCCTAAAATTCATATAGAAGTGCAAAGACCATGAGTAGCCAAAACAATATTGAAAAATAACAAAGTTGGAAGACTCATATTTCCCAATTGTGTGGTACTGGCCTAAAAACAGATGAATGAAATAGAAATGAAAATCCATAAATAACCCCCCACATGTATGGTCAATTGATTTGACACAGATGCCAAAACAATTCAATGGGGAAAGTATATTCTCTTCAACAAATGATGCTGGGACAACTAGATATCCACATGCAAAACAATGAAGTTGGACTGTTCCCTCATGCTACATATAAAGATGTAACTGAGGAGGGAGATCTTGTAGAGGCAAGATCTCACTATGTTGCCCGGACTGGCCCCAAACTCCTGGACTCAAACAATCTTCCTACCTTGGCCTCCCAAAGTGCTGAGATAACAGGCATGAGAGCCACCATATCCGGCATGAGATTCTTATTTTAAAACAAGGTATAAGCCACCATGCCTGGTTTATACCTTGTTTTAAAAATTAACTCAATGTGGATCAAAGACTTATATATAAAGAGTTCAAACTACCAGAAGACATAGGGGTAAATCTCCCTGACCTTTGATTTGGCAATGGGTTCTCAGATATACCAAAAGCACAAGCAACAGAAGAAAAAATAACAGGCCGGGCACAGTGGCTCACACCTGTAATCCAAGCACTTTGGAGGCCAAGGTGGGTGGATCACCTGAGGTCGGGAGTTCAGGACCAGCCTGACCGACATGGTGAAATCCCGTCTTTAAAAAGAAAATTAAAAAAAGAAAAAATAATAAAGTGGACTTCTACAAAATTAAAAACAAAAAGTGAAGACAACTCACAGAATGAGAGAAACTATTTGCAAATCACACATACTATATCTGTTCTCTATATTATGTTACTTATATATATATACAGTCTCCTTGTTTGTACTCCAATACAACCAAACCTGAATCCCACTGGACTTCCTAATACAACATGTAGCATGTTTCCTTCCCATCTGAGCTACTTGCCATGAAAACCATTCTGCCTAAGCATCAGACTTGGGAACCACTGGCCCAACATGTGCTTATGAATTCTATTCTTCTAAGTCCAATTTTAAGAAGAAAATTATGAGGGTAGGGGGAGTTTATGCAAGACAAGTAGAAATGTGGAAGAGGGAGCTAAGAGAAATATATTAAGTTCACTAATTCTGAAATGGCTCTTTAAAGCAAGAAGAATCAGCAACTAAGGACAGTCAACCACATCTAAACAATAAGAATTTTAATTTTAGCGTACGTGAAAAGATGCGTTGGAGGAAAAATCCTGAAATGTAAGTGAAGCTGAGAGCTTTTTTTTTTTTTTGACAGGGTCTTACTCTGTGAACCACGTGGGGGAGTGCAGTAGCACAATCATGGCTCACTGCAGCCTCGACCTCCCAAGCTAAGGTGATCCTCCCTCCTCAGCCTCCCAAGTAGCTGGGACTAAAGGTGTACATCACCATGCCCAGCTAATTTTTTGTATTCTTCATGGAGTTTTGCCATGTTGCTGGTCTGTAACTCCTGGGTTCAAGAGATTAGCTTGCCTCAGCCTCCCAAAGTGCTAGGACTACAGATGAGAGTCACCACACATGGCCTTTGTTTGGACTTTTTTGTTGTTGTTTAGGGTCTTGCTCTGTGACCCAGGCTAAAGTACAGGAGTGCCATCTCAGCTCACTGCAGCCTCAACTTCCCAGGCTCAAGAGATCCTCTCACCCCAGCCTCCTGAGTAGCTAGGACTATGGGGGCACACCATCACCCCTGACTAATTTTGCTTGTTTTTTGCAGAGGCAAGATCTCACCATGTTGCCCGGACTGGTCCCAAACTCCTGGACTCAAGCAATCTTCCTACCTTGGCCTCCCAAAGTGCTGAGATAACGGGCATGAGAGCCACCATATCTGGCATGAGATTCTTATTTTAAAACAAGGTATAAGCCAGGCATGGTGGCTCATGCCTGTAATCCCAACACTTTGCGAGGCCGAGGCAGGTGGATCACTTGAGGTCAGGAGTGTGAGACCAGCCTGGACGACATGGTGAAATGTTGTCTCTACCACAAAATAAAAAATTAGCTGGGTGTAGTGGTCCACGCCTGTAGTTCCAGCTATTCTGGAGGATGAGGTGGGAGAATCCCTTGAACCTGGGAGGTGAAGGCTGCAGTGAGCCAAGATCACGCCACTGCACTCCAGCCTGGGCAACAGAGTGAGACTGTCTCAAAAAATTTAAAAAGCATGGTAAATTAAAAACACTTTTTAAAAACTGGCTTTGGCCAGTAGTGGCTCACGCCTATAATCCCAGTACTTTGGGAGGACAAGGTAGGCAGATTACTTGAGGTCAGGAGTTTGAGAATAGCCTGGCCGAGCTGGTGAAACCCCATCTCAACCAAAAATGCAAAAATAAACAGCACGTAGTGGTGGGTGCCTATAATCCCAGCTACTCAGGTGGCTGAGGCAGAACTGCCTAAACCTGGGAGGCAAAGCTTGCAGTGAGCCGAGATCGCACCACTGCACTCCGACCTGGGCGACAGAGGAAGACTCCACCTCAATAAAAAGGCCTGGCGTGATGGCTCATGCCTGTAACCCCAGCACTTTGGGAGGCTGAGGCAGGCAGATCACCTGAGGTCAGGAGTTAGAGACCAGCCTAGCCAACATGGAGAAACCCCGTCTCTACTAAAAATATAAAAATTAGCCAGGCATGGTGGTGCACACCTGTAGTCCCAGCTACTTAGGAAGCTGAGGCAGAAGAATTGCTTGAATCTGGGAGGCAGAGGTTGCTGCGAGTCGAAATCGTGCCACTGCATTCCAGCCTGGGTGACAAAAACAAAAACTGACTTAAAAAATTAAATAATAAAAATATATGTAAGTGTGGGGGTGGTCTCCAGAAAAGAGTAAAATTTTTAAAAATTGGCTTTATACAACGTCTGACTTTACTTTTAGTCTAAAACTTTGTGATATAAGGCTGGTAAACAGAAAATTCCAACAAGGACTTGACCATAGGACATATTAAGGTGTTTATTATTTACTAAGAGTAACATGTACAGATTTGCAACTATTTGTATAATCCAAGTAGATTACAATTCACAGCAAAGTACACTAGCTCTAATCTGCCTTGGACACAGCTAAGTCTTCTCAATAGACTATTTTATTGCCAAACTTACATTCTGGCTTTTATAATCATTGTGCAACACCTGGTACAGTATACACCTGCAGCTTTGCCATAGAAATGCCCCTAATACCCTTCAGAGAGCAGAGGTGAATACTTTTTCATGGAGAAATGCCAACTTTTCTAAGCGAGTTCGTTTCAGTATTGGGAACCATTCCCAGTGGGATAATTCTACCACACGGTAGCCAAGCCGAACCAGCTGCCGCCTCTTCATGCTGTGCAGTCCAAGGAGATTCCTGGAGCCATAGCAGTATTGATTCCTGTTTGTAAACTGAATAGCCAGCTTCACTCTTGGAGTCTGCCTGCAGGCTGGGGGGCATAGGCCAGCAATCTCCATGGCCCGTGATTTATCTGCTATATTACAAAGGGAGCCCCCCAAAGGTGCAGCTGCCTTCTCCTCTAACTCCACGGGCTGCTGCCCAGGCTCTGACTCAGTTTTGCCCTGGAAATGTCCTCTTGCTTTCCCTTTTAGTAACTGATTCATCAAATCATCTGTAAGTCTGACTGCCACATGCTTAAGCCTTAATTTGGCTACATTTTCAGCTGGTGTGGCTTCTCTATTAAATGGTAACGGCTTCAGGTTAACATCAAGCTGGACCTCTATGTCAGAAGATCGGGTATGAGGCAAAATCATATGGTGCTTGATATACTGGGGCCCCCCCAACATGGTGTCAAGTAAAGAGAGAGTTTCTAAGAATTCAGGCTTTGAATTCATATCCTTTCTTGCTAAATTCCACAGCAATTCAGACCCCTCTTGCTGAAGGTGAGCACTAAGACGATTGCCTCTGTAATCTGGACACTCAATGCCTACTGCACCATCAAGAGTATACAGTTCCTTAAGGAGGTCAAACTTAGTTCTCTCCTGAGCTAACCTGACAAACCCTGGACTGAGAGCATAATCAATGAACTCTATTGGAAAGTACTCCGAAAACGCCAGGCCCAGCAGGCAGGTGAGCAGGTGTTCTGGGAACTGATTGAATTCAGGCATCTTTCTCTGAATCTCATTTATCAGACTGGAGTAAAATTCTTCTGCATTGGGTGGCTTATAATTCAGAGTTCCAAATGACCACAGTATCTTGGCAACATCTTTACTTCGACAGTGCACCACCCTAGGAGGCAAAGATGCAGCCACTGCATTCAGTACTCCTTCATCCAGGAAGCGTAAGGCCGAGCAGGCAAGAGTCAAGTGCATGACACCCTGAACTCCCAGGGAAGGAATTCGCTGAGGAGCAATCTCTCCAAACTGCTTCATGAAATTGATGTGATCCACGTGAGTGAAACGGAACATTTTAAGAATATTCACTAAGGTGTGACTACTCAGATGCTGCATGTCAGCACAAGCCAAGTCTCCAAATTTCCGCATGACAAATTCAGAGAGACTAGTACTAGATTTAAAGAACCCCAAACAGATGGTACCAACCTCCTCTAAATTGAGTAAATCTATATATTTAAGAATCAATGATTCCAATTTTTGCATTACATCCTGGGATACCTGACGATTTTCACCTATAACATAAATTAAGTGAACTAGCTGGGACAAGGATATATCTTTCCAGTGCAAATTAAGATAGCTAAAAAAAATTTTAAAAAACCGAGGTACTCTGTGGCCTAAGTACCTCCAGAGATCAGCCACCAAAAGGAGCTGATCCATACTCATCTCCCACACCTGATGGCAACATTTGGTCTCATATACATCTAGCATTGAATGGGAATGAGGGATTCCTAAAATTACAAAAGCTTTCAAAATATTGATGAGATCTTGGGTATCAAAGAGCTCTATCTTCTTCACACTCAGCTGGCAGAGCAGAGCAAACCTGGGACTGCCCAATAAGAAAGAATGCTGCTCTGGAGGCAAAGAGCTCAGCTTACACAAATAATCAGCAATGACTTGAGCCTGGAGATGATCTTGATAAACTGTAACTTTGTGCAAAATTAGTTCACCTTCTGAAACAGACAGGGGCTGACAAGTCTCGGATGCGTTATAGCTGTGAAGACGGTATTCTGGTCTTAGCTCAAGAAAAACTCGGGTGTCTTCAAAGGAATCAAAAACTTCTACATCCTCTTCAACAACTCTCGTGGTCCTGGGTGAGCCCAGCTGCAATGTGCTGTCCTCAGAGGAAGAAGCCTTGCTGAATTCCAAACTTCGGTGGGCACTGCTGGTTGTGAGGATATTCCAAGAAGAGAAGGTGCTACAAATGTTCTTAGGTTTCTTGGCAGAATGGCAGAGGCTTGTGTGTTCTGGAGGGTGTGGTCCCCCATGCTGTGTGCTGCTCACATTCCAATATGCCACACTTCGGGAGGCACAGGAGGCAAAAGGACTGCGAAATGCTCGGTGTCCTAAAAGTTTTAACAACTTGGGAGTTGCCATTCTGGTGTCAGAAGTGATCTTTTTGGCAGTCAGAATACAGTCCTCACAGGTTTGCCCAGGCAATTTCTTGTTTACATGGTGCTTGATTAGAGCTGGATGTGGAGGTGTTCCACAAAAACTGCCTGGAAATCTTCGGCATATCACAAGAGCCAGGGATCACAAATGACTGGGTCAGAATTGGTGCCAGATACTGAAAAAAGGGTAGATGAAGAATGAGTGGCTTCCACCTATAAGAGCACCCAAATTTATACATTATAAAAAATAGATTGAAACTACACTGCTGTCCACTCAAGTAAGTTCAATGCTAGTAAATACCCAAACCACATGACAACATGTATCAAAGATAAATTGTGTGCTCTACGTAAAGGCCTAGGAAAACCCCACCCCAGGATATCCCTGGGCAGTTCATAGACTGCTGCTCACCAGACTTCCTTCACTGTACAAGGCAAGTAGTAACAGCTAGAGAAGAGATGATGCTCGCTAACCTTTGACAGGAAGAAGGAAGGCAGATTTCTAGAAAGAAGGCTGGGAACAAAAGTGAGCAACTCATTCCATCTCTTTGATATCAAGACATATAGGTCCTACCTGAAGAATAAGAATGTTTATAAAAACTGCTATGCTGACAGCACTAAGTAAAAAGTGGGATCTGGTATAAGAGATAATTCGCAGGCTAGGTGTGGTGTCTTACGCCTGTAATCCCAGCACTTTGGGAGGCCGAGGCAGGCAGATCACTTGAGGTCAGGAGTTCAAGACCAGCCTGGCCAACATGGTGAAACTGTCTCTACTAAAAATACAAAAAATTAGCCGGGTGTTGTGGCACACACTTGCAATCCCAGCTACTCAGGAGGCTGAGGCAGGAGAATTGCTTGAACCTGGGAGGCAGAATGTGGTGAGCTGAGACTGTACCACTGCACTCCAGCATGGGGTAGCGGGGGAGACCAGGTGCAATGGTGCAATGGCTCACACCTATAATCCCAACACTTTGGGAGGCTGAAGTGGGTGGATCGCCTGAAGTCAGGAGTTCAAGACCAGCCTGACAAACATGGAGAAATCCCATCTCTACCAAAAATACAAAATTAGCCAGGCATGGTGATGCATGCCTGTAATCCCAGCTACTCGGGAGGCTGAGGCAGGAGAATTGCTTGAACCTGGGAGGAGGAGGTTGCAGTGAGCTGAGATCTGGCCATTGCACTCCAGCCTAGGAAACGAGAGTAAAACTCTGTCTCAAAAAAAAAAAAAAAAAGATTTAATTTGTTATATCCACAATAACCTCCCCTGTTCTTACAGTGCAAAACTGTTAATTACAAAACCCTGTCATTCTAATGCTGTTCTTGTACTTTTTTTTTTTTGAGACGGAGTTTCACTCTTGTTACCCAGGCTGGAGTGCAATGGCACAATCTCGGCTCACTGCAACCTCCATCTCCTGGGTTCAGGCATTGTCCTGCCTCAGCCTCCTGAGTAGCTGGGATTAGGCATGCGCCACCATGCCCAGCTAATTTTTGTATTTTTAGTAGAGACGGGGTTTCACCATGTTGACCAGGATGGTCTCGATCTCTTGACCTTGTGATCCACACGCCTCAGCCCCCCAAAGTGCTGGGATTACAGGCTTGAGCCACCGTGCCCGGCCTGTTCTTGTACTTTTTTAGAAGATGCCTACTCTCCTCTCCAAGAAGCTTGTAACAGAATTTGAATCACTATTACAGAATAGTCACAGCATAGTGGTGTAATTAGAAAGTATACTCAAAAACTCACTCATTTTGGTGGGAGAAAGCAGAAGGTTAAGGGTCTGCTCACTGTTACTTTACAGGTGGGAAGCAAGGAGTACCTCAAAGCTGGGCTCAGGGTTCAGGGAACATCAATTGATGCAACTGCCCTGCTGACATCTGGAGTAGGCAGCTTAGCAATGCTTCCAGTGAGTCAGGTGTTGATTACTTCTTTATTCTGCCTGTGAGAAGTACAATGCCCATTTTTCTCCCATGGCAGAAAACATGAGAGACTATGAAGTTGACTCTGCTGTGCTCTCACTTTCCTTAATGCTTATTCTTTCTCTTTCCACTTAAGCGCCAAAGCCCAACAAGCAAGACCCAAGGAGACCTGAGTTGTCAGCTGATGGACCAGACAGGGCTGTTGCTGCAGAAAACTCCGTAAAAGTTCCAAGGGTGCCAGAATGATTTTCTGAAATGCCTGACCAACTCTGCTGTCAGCCACTTTCTTCCAGAGCCCATAGCCCATGAACCAAAGGACAGCAGGGCAGGCCACTAGCTCTGTTCCAGTAGCCCAGCTACACAGGCTTCTCTGGATGGCAGGAACATATGTTTGAATTTCTGTGTGAATCAGAGCAGAATTCTCTCACACTAAATTTTTATACACTTGGTTCTTTACTGTGGCTTTTGGACCATTCTTTTTTTCTTTTTTGAGAAAATCTCACTCTGTCACCCAGGTTAGAGTGTAGCAGCATGATAACTGCAGCTTTGACCTCCCAGATTCAAGCAATCCTCCCACTTCAGCCTCAGCCTCCTGAGAGAGAGAGAGAGAGAGAGAGAGAGAGAGAGAGAGTGTGTGTGTGTGTGTGTGTGTGTGTGTGTGTGTGTAGATGGAGTCTCACTGTGTTGCCCAGGCTGGGCTCGAACTCCTGGGCTCAAGTGATCCTCCTACCTTGGCCTCCTGAAGTGCCAGCATTACAGGCTTCAGCCACCGTGCCTGACCACCTGTGGACCATTCTGCCCATCAAATCTATGGTTCAGGTCAAGGGTCAGCAAACTACATCCTGGAGCCTAAATCTAGCTCTTCAAATGTTTTTGTAAACAAGGCTTTTTCAGAACATAGCTAGGCCATTCACTATACATTGTCTATTTCTGCTTTCCTGCTACAAGATCAGAACTGTGTAACTAGCAGATTGTATGGCCTGAAAAGCATTTTTAGTGTCCATTACATAAAAAGCTTGCTGATCTCTGCTCCATACTACTATTTCTATAAATGCAGATGGCCAGCTTTTTAAAACTTAGAAAAATGTGGCCAAGTGCAGTGGCTCACACCTGTAATCCCAACACTTTGGGAGGCTGAGGTGGAAGGCCTGCTTGAGGCCAGGAGTTTGAGACCAGCCTGAACAGCACAGCAAGATTGTCTCTACAAAAAAAAAAAAAAAATTTGTTAAAAATTTTTAAACTGTAGAAAAATTGTACTAAAATAATTTTTACTTTAATATCTAGATGACAATTGAAGATTATATTCCTCAAAATAGTCATTAGGAAACTCAATTAATACTGCAGCACAAGAAAGGTGGAAACAGACAGCAGGATGGCCAGGTGCAGTGGTTCACGCCCGTAATTCCAGCACTTTGGGAAGCTAAGGCAGGCAGATCACTTGAGGTCAAATGTTCAAGACCAGCCTGGCCAACATGGCAAAACCCTATCTCTATTAAAAATACAAAAACCAGCCAGATGGGGTGGCACAAGCCTGTAATCCCAGCTACTTGGGGTGCTGAGGCACAAGAGTCGCTTGAACTCGGGAAGCAGAGGTTGCAGTGAGGCAAGATGATGCCACTGCACTCCAGCCTAGGCAACAGAGACTGTCTCAAAAAAAGAAAAATAGAAATAGCAGGTAACAGAACTCTACAGTTGACAGAACAGGGCTTTTAAGAAGACCTACTCTCGAATTTAATTTAATCCACCACAATGTGCAACTAAAACCTTCAAATCTGTAGTCTTCATCTCATTTTAGGAAGTAGATCCTGGCCAGGCACAGTGGCTCACACGGATCACTTGAGGTCAAGAGTTCTAGACCAGCCTAGCCAACATAGCAAAGCCCTGTCTCTACTAAAAATACAAAAATTAATGGCCAGGCGTGGTGGCTCACACCTGTAATCCCAGCACTTTGGGAGGTTGAGGTAGGTGGAGCACCTGAGGTCGGGAGTTTGAGACCAGCCTGGCAAACATGGCGAAACCCTGTCTCTACTAAAAATACAAAAATTAGCCAGGCATGGTGGTGCATGCCTGTAATCCAAGCTATTTGGGAGGCTGACGTGGGAGAATGGCTCAAACCCGGGAAGCGGAGGTTGCAGTGAGCAAAGATCGAGCCGTTGCAGTCCAGCCTGGGCAACAGAGCAAGGCTCTGTCTCCAAAAAAAAAAAAGCCTGCAAATATAAGAAGAAGGGGAACAAGACAACCCTCTTTTAAAAAGGCTAATGCCCTTTTTGGCCTTAGCCCACCTGCACCCAGGTGAATTAAAAAAAAAAAAATTAGCTGGGCGTGGTGGTGCACCTCCCATCTACTCGGGAGGCTGAGGCAGGAGAACCACTTGAACCCAGGAGGCAGAGGTTCCCTCGAATGGAGATTGCACCACTGCACTGTACCCTGGGCAAAAGAGCAAGACTGTCTCAAAAAAAAAAAAAAAAAAACAAGAAAAACCAAGAAAGTAGAGCCTAAAAAATAGCTTTAAAGGCCCCATTTTTTAGAAAAGTGCTACATTAAAGCAAAAATGTGTGTCCAGAAGGAGGCTATTTACAGGATAAATATGTGGCAGGCATCGACTGGAGAAAGTACACACAAATATTCAGTGGAACAAATAGCACATAAACAAGAATTAATAAATATCTCTCTAAATGATGTTAATTTTAAAACTACATTAAATAATTAAAATTACTTCAATTAATTCTACCTAAGAGTACTTAATGAAATTACTGTACGTGGTCTGGAAATAAAAGAACCATCTCCTAGGACATCAGTGTTTGGTGTAGCTCCAGTGTTTTGAATTCATGCAACTCTTTTTGATTTGTAAAAATAAAGGCTAAGATCCAAGATGGAAATATCAAGAGCTATGGCTGCCTGAGTGCCTCCTCTGTGCCAAGGCTTGGAGCCTTGTAAAAGCCGCTTTATCTGCCTTAGTTCCCATCCTTATAATATCTCTGTAATGTAAGTTTATTTTCCCCATATTATTGATGGGAAAGAGACCACAAGATTAAGAAACCTGCCAAAAGCTATACAGCTAAGGGACTGAGTATAGCCAAATATTAAAGACTGTCTGACTCCCAAGCCCACACTAGGAAGACAAGAACGGGTGTCAGGAAACACAGCTTCGGAGGACCGTAGGGGGTGGGATGGCTGAACAATCTATGGTCTTCTATGGTATCAAGGTGCCTGGATCCAGGTGCCTCTAGGGAGCTGGAGGGTTAGAACTAGGTGAGCTTGAAAG